GGAATTCTTCCGTAGTAACCGCATATTACATGCTAAATTCCTTAAATTCTCGCAATCTATTTGAAAAAAACATGACTTGCATAGAGCTTGGTAGTGGTTGTGGCTTGTTGGGTTTGGTAATGTGCTCTTTAAGCTTTGAAACAACTTTGACTGATCTAGCTTCCGTCGTAGATAATGTATTAAAAGAAAACGTACGACGTAACTTATTGTCTCTTAATAATTAATCTCAAAGTTATGAGAATTTTGTAAAGTCAATTCAACATAAGGCTTACGTTAAAGTATTGATTGGACATCACCTTAGCTTCCTTCCGATTTTACTTCTCCATATGATTATATTGTTGCTACTGATTATAGATATTCATTGGATCTAATTCCTCATTTTATAAAATGTTTACAAAATCTTTCTAATGCCAAATTTGTAATTATATGTGGAATGGAAAGAAGAGATCCGATTGTTATAAATAATTTTTTAAATCAATGTAAAAAAAATTTATGGATTTAATATTTCTAAAATTTCTGACAAAAAATTAAAAAATTTTTGAAGGGATCTAATGAATCGAATAATATCAAACAAATGCAAGTAGAAATATATTGGTTTAAAAAAAAACTAAAGTTTAATTTCTATAAATAAACATAGTATACTGTAGTACTCTTAAAAAATAAAATAAAATAAATATTTATAACGATCATAACAAAAAAGAAATTTCGTTAAATAAAAATATAGTTAAAAAATGAAATTTTATTATACTGAAGTATAATATTTAATATTAGATATTAAATAAAAGATATTTATGTTATACGCCAATTCGCGATTCACATTGATTCTAAATTAATGTCATTTTAAAATCTATACCGATTGGAATATGTTAAACTAAATAATAAACTATAAGATCTTTAGTTTTTAATTTTAATAATTTATTTTATTTTATTTGATATAACTTCAAATATTTATTTCTTGTACCTTAAATAATTGAAACAATAGTTAACAATAGTATGAATAGTCTTTAAAGTGAAGACTGTTACAAAGTTAAAGTTGAAAGCATAGAGAATATTAAAAATGAAAATTATAATAATGATACTCAAATTTGTTCTTAAAGATTTTTTAATCAAACATTTACTGAACATCATTGTATAAAATAAAAATAAAAAGCTAATTTTGAAGTTAAAAAATTTACATAAATAATATTCTGGTCTTATATTTTAAAATAGAATGATAGTTTTTAGAAAAAAATTTTATTTGAGAAACCTGGTTTTATTATTTAAAAAAGAAAATTATCTATGCTCAAAAAATTCATGGTAAATAAATCTCTACTCAAACAAGTTAAAATTTATCCTGAATAAATTTGGATCTTCTTTAGTATAGGTGGGCAATATAAAAATAAACTACGCTAATGTTTAGTAATCATTAAGTTTTTAATATAATCAGCGGAGTTTGGCGGAGTTTGCCCACCTATAAAATCCATAAAATGTTGACGCGACTCCTATACAATGATTCAAAAACAAGTAACTAAATTATTACAGCCCATGACGTAAAAGTAGTAGCTACGTATGTGTTATGGGATGGTCACTTATGCCGACCAACCATAATATAACATATGTCAAATTATGATTCCAAAATGATTTATGTCACTTTAGAATTCCAAAACGACGTATAACATATATTACTTATAAATCAAAAATGCAATAGAAATGGTGATAGCCATAATAGCATCTTTAATATCAATTTTTTCGATTATATTATTTATGCTTTCAAAAGAAAAAATCTATCTATACTAAAAAAAATTTCTTTTTCTTTCATTGAATTTATTCTTGATTGGTCAAAGCATTTATCAGTTTTTTTCAGTAGAAAAAGGATTTATGTTTATTAACTTTTGCAATAGGTTTAAAGGTGAAATAAAAATTTCAAATTCTCTTAATAGCATAAAAGGTTAAAATCAGGTCAAAAGTATTTATTTAAATTCTATCTATATTTGCGAAAAAGGAATTTAAATTCCTTCGTTTCCCTATTAAAAAATTTTGCGGAAAAACATGGAAGCTGAACACAGAACATACGTAAAATATACGTAAAATATACACATTGAAAAGGAAAACTCAACATATTTTGAAACATGGAAAAAGTTATTCCATGTTTTAGAAAACATGGAAAATACAGTGTGTTTCCTGTCCAAAAACATGGAAAGTGTACATTTTACATATTTTTTTTTTTTTATTTTTTATTTTTTTACATATTTTTACGTCTGTTTCTGTGTTTAACTTCCATGTTTTTCCGACAAAATTTTTTCATAGGGCTTGTTATAAAATGTTACATTATGTTGAATTTCGAAACGAAGATAGTAAAATCCAACTATCAGCTAAAATTGGTAACCAAGTATGTTTGGCTTATGGTTTAAGCCTTTAAATTTCAGATACATTATTAAATAAAGAATAAATATCAATTTAATATTTCGTGTGCTTCTTGTAATAAATATATATATATAAATTATGTTGTTGGTCAAAACAAATTATTATTACACTTTAAATTTTACAATTAAATTCCAAAAGTCCATTTCGAAACAATTTGTGTAATTTATGAAAATCATATGTTATGAAACGTCGCACCATGTACATATGAACACCGCCGACATAATTTAAAACGATAACGGATCTGTCTTTTCTTATTTAAAATGAACGCAAACGAATTATACGAATTGGGTGAAAAATATTTTTACGGAACTGGTGTCAAGAAAAATGAATGTGATGCATTCATCTATTATCAAAAAGCTGCGGATATGAGTCATGTTTTTTTCAAATAGATTGCGAGAATTTAAGGAATTTAGCATGTAATATGCGGTTACTACGGAAGAATTCC